TTCTTTGACTTAGCATAATTTTTGAGATTCATTCATCCATGTGATTCATGTTCTTACATGAATCAATATTGACTTATTGTAATTGCTGAATAGTATTCCATTGTGTATTGTGTATGATATTCTATATCATAATTTGACTATTTGCTTACCTTTTGATCCATATTTGGGTTGTTTCTAGTTTTTGTAATGCAAACAGAGATGCTAGGAACATTCGTGAATAAGTCTTGGTATGGACATGACTTCATTTCTCTTGGGTAAAATACCTAGGAGTGGAATGATTGGACCATATGGTAAGTGTATGTTTAACTTTTTAAGAACATGTCAAACTATTTTACAGAGTGGTTGTACAATTTCACAATCCCATGATCAGTGGGTGGGAGCTGCAATTGGTCCACATCCTCACTAACATTTGATATGGTCAATATTTTTAATTTTAGATTTTTTTTAATGTATTGATATCTAATGTTTCAGATCTGACCTATTTGTTGGAAAGACTCTTTCTCCACTGAATTTGTTTTTAAATTCTTTAAGATTTTATTTATTCATTTGTCAGAGAGAGAGAGAGCACAAGCAGGGGGAGTGGCAGGCACAGGGAGAGGGAGAAACAAGCTCGCTGCTCTGCAGGTGTGGGGCTCAATCCCAGGACCCTGGGATCATAACCTGAGCCAAAGGCAGAGGCTTAACCAACTGAGCCACCCAGGCGCCCCAGCAGAATTACTTTTAAAAAAACCCCAAAACCCAGCTATTTTGGAAAAAAGAAAAAATCATTTTAATTTGCATTCTTTTCTTTACTGGTGAATTAGACACTTTTCATATGCTTCTTGGATGTTTGTATTTTCTGGGAACATATAATCTATTCATAATTTTTTATCATGTTCTTAGTGTGTTTCTAATAGTTTTACATGATCTGGTTATATATTATGTATTGCCTTCTGTGTTTATTTTTGAGATTCACACACATATTTTTGAGATTCACTAAATATATTCACTAGAATAATGCATATTTTTAGGACTCATCAAAATGAAAATTTTGACTTAAAAAAAATTGAAAATGAATGCTTCTGTTTTGTTTTTGTGCTGATGACCTACCACCAATTGCTTCCCAAATATGGAAAACTGGAATACCAGCAGGCAGGGCAAAAAAAAATTTTGAAAAGCAGGTATCGTGCTGCACAAATACTCTCTACCTTTAAATTTGGTGGACACGAACATGGCTTAGAAGATTTTGAGGCCAGGAGTTCGATTGTTCTAATCTGGGCCCAGCGTGTGCTTGTCACATCTGCTTATCTCTCTTACAGAATGAGTGAGTGAGTGAGTGAATGGCTCGTTCTTCATGTAGGCTATAGGATTAAAAATCAGTCTTGCAGTTTTTTGTTTGTAAATCAGCCCTGAGCTTTGAAAGACTACCCATCAGACAGGGCTGTAACTTGGAGTAAATAGAGGCTTGTAACTGGGCAGTATATACTAGTTCGTCCTGAAGGAACTACACCTGAGGAAGAATGAGAAAAAAAAAACATTTAGGAAGGATGCCGGACAACCACTGAAGATGTGCTATACATCTACCTGGTGGAGCCAAATGTCTGTCAGGTATTTCATAAGGATGTTATATTTGGAGTTCATGTTGCACCTAGGGAATTTTTGTAAGTCATGAAAAGCAAAAGCAAAAGTTATAGGGCTAGATAGAGGGGAGAATAGCTCAACTATTAATGATGCTCCCAAATCTGTTTATTATTGGCCTTTTCATGATAACGCCCAGGGCCTTCTGCTGAGATTTATAGCATGGTAACCCAGATCAAAATTATTTGTTTATAAAATTCCTCTGAATTCTGCTTACTATGTTGTGTTGGCAGTTTAATGTAGATTAACTAATTTGCTTCCTTTTCTGTGTCCGCGTGGGTGTGAGTGCATGCTTCTTAGCAGTCTTTTAAAAAAACCTGGGAACGTGGGCAAACTAGCCTTCTCATTATTGAGCCTCAGACAAGGGCAGGGCTTATTCCAATACCTTTTGACACACCTTTCCAAGGTGGGGGCAACACACACTCCGTGGGTCATAGGATGTTATCATTTAAGGTACCAAAGAGGCCTTGACACTAAGATTTCTTAACTCCAAAATCTTGCAATTCTTGCGGATGGAAAAAAGGAGAGGCTAAATATGAAATAGCTTAAAATCTTTCCTTCACGTGGGGTTTAATTTCCCTCAGGTATTCCATCAGCCGCCACTTAACCATTTAACCAGAGAATTGTAAGAGTTTTCCTCTTGGATTTCGATGGCTGTTGAAGCTGGCCTGCATGGAAACCCTGGCCCAGCTGGCATTCCTTGGGTGGCCCTTGCCCAGTCTGGTCACCAGGAGTACACTGTAACCAATAAAATGCATTAGCTAGGGGCGCCAGGGTGGCTTAGTTGTTAAGCATCTGCCTTCAGCTCAGGTCATGGTCCCAGGGTCCTGGGATCGAGCCCCATTGGGCTCCCTGCTGAACAGGGAGCCTGCTTCTCCCTCTCCCACTCCCCCTGCTTGTGTTCCCTCTCTCGCTGTCTCTCTCTGTCAAATAAATGAATAAAATCTTAAATAAAATAAAATGCATTAGTTACATAAGTTTTTATGCTCCTAAATAGGGAATCCTTGGCCCATTCTACACCAAGACATCCTAGTCCTGTGTTTTGAGGGAGCTGAGTTCGGATTCGGATTGGCAGAAAGTTCTGGAAAGAATATAGGTTTGTAGATTCAGACAGTGGGGGCTTCAGACAGCATTCCTGCCACCTCCCAGCTCTGAGACCTTGGGCAAACTGTCCTGTTTCCTTATTTATAAAATGGGCATAATAGCACCTTCTTCATAGGGTTGAGGTGACTGTGTGGACACAGGTGAAGGCCTATCTTAAATGTTCTCACTACTCACACAAAAAGCTAACTGTGTGGTAATGTGTTAGTTTACCTAATTGTAATCATTTCACAATATATACTTACATCAAATCACCACATTTTATATCTTAAACTGACGCAGAGTTCTATGTTAACTCTATCTCCATAAAGCTGGGGAAAAAAGGCCTAACATGTTTGGCCCACAGGTGATACCCAATAAGCAATATTGTCCACACAGTTTCAGTATGGCTGACCTACGCCTCCTGGTGAGAATACTTACAAGGTTAGCACTCCTTAAGGGAGTGTGAGGCTTCACTTCATCAGGAATTCACCGCATGTCATGTTTATTAAACAAGCTCTGATTATGGGCCAGATACTCTTTATGCTCCAAAGACGATGGCATGTCCTCTAGGAGTGACAGGAATTATATAAATATAAAAATATAAGTGCCATGCTAAGTCACATGGATAATCCATGAAGGAATGACAAATTCTACCAGTAGATTTGAGGCGCATCTGTACCACCTCAACCCACCTGGGGAAAAAAAAAGCACAGGCAAATTCAAAATTCCACAGCCACCTTCCAGAATCAGACCCGAGGAAGTGTTCTTCAGTACTCAGCCTGCTCTAAGTAAAACCATCTGCTCTGGCTCCCTCCCCATGACGCATGGGCCATTCGGAAGGACTAACACTAACAGGTTACCAGCCACAGCGGAGACCATTGATTTTGGTTTACATTTCTCAGAGACCATACTTCCTGAAACCCAGTAAAGCAGAAAATGAATTCTGCTAAGTCCCACTTGTGTTCAAGTCTTGTAGCTTTCTAAAGGAAGCATGAAACGCAGTTCCTAAAACTGAGGGCTAAGCACTCGGTACTTCCCTCTCTACTTACTGCTAAATTAGGGACTCAGTCCAAACAGCTTGGTTCCCAGATGGGGAAGACGCAGTCCAGAGAAGCCACCAGCTAGGGCCCCACAGCCAGCCAACAGCAGAGGTCAGCTGCATTCACCTCCTCGACCTCCTCTGCTGGGCTGTGTGAGCTCCGCAGACCCTCATACAGGAGGGCAGACAGTACTGAGGCCGAGGAAGCTCTCGGGGGGGCTTGCACGGTAGGTGCAGACGCAGGACATGGCTGGTGCAGGTGAGATCTCAGGACCAAGACCTTCGCCAACATCCACTGCCAAGATGGGGAATAAGAACGGATAATTTGCTCTTGACGTTTATGTACAGGAAACCATGGCTGCTCTTGAGCAAAGTTTTAAAAGATTCTGATAGTTTTCAGAAGCAGAACAATTCCTTTTAAAGGGAAAGTGATCCTGCAGAACACTCGTACTTGAACACAAATAAGGTTCAGTACGAGGAGGCTACAGGGGCTTGTGTTAAGTATTAGAATGTACTCATTATAATCATTTTCTTTTAAAGAATAATGAACTTGGCAGTTTGCTCTAAACACGGAGAACAGACAATTGATACAATCCAACTTTATTTTACTTAATTATAACAAGAATTTTCAAAAACTCATGACTACGCTATTTCTAGTATTTAAATACAAAACATTCCAAATTTAGCACAAACAGCGTAAGCTAATGCATAAATGGATTTGGATAAAGTTCTATGAACCAAACTATTCCTTTTGTATGTTTGAAAGCAAAGTGTGTTGCTGTGTTGTTATAAAGTCACAGGATGAGGCCCTGGGGTCTTTGGGGGCGGGGGAGGCCGGTGGGTCAAGTGACAAAGCCTGGGGTTTGTCACTCCTGAGCTTTTAGCTCAGAGCAGACTGAGGGTGTGGCCAGCGGCTTGATGGGCAAAGCCAGGACTTGGTCTATTCTAGTTTATAAACACCCCGAAGCTAACTTTTCGGATGTGCTCCTTTCTAACATTTAGAAAGGGCTTTTCTTGGCTGCCAGGAAGCAGGGAGCAGGCTGTGGTGAGTGATTATCTGGGAGCAGCCAGGCATAAGCTTAGACGCTTTGGAAAATTGGGAGGGGTGGGGACAGAGAGACAGATTCTTCTTCCTTTTGTGGACCGGGGAAGAGGGTACTTGGTGACATTTTCCTGAGTACGAAAGGAAGAATACAGGTTTGAAAGGTTTGTAATTATACGTTAAAACAGACACACATCCATATTGAAAAAAACAGAAAAAGGCGTTGTAAACACACTTTTATTTAAAATTAAGATTTCTGAAACAACTATACTGAGTGGTATTATAGTCTGTAGCTAAATAAGACATAGCACTAAAATACTTACATTAATTTTAACTTTAAGGGTTCTTTTTAAAGCACCACTTAAAACTTACATATTCCCCCCAAAATTAAATATAGAAAAGTTGTTCTATCTTAGGAGTGAGTTTGAGAATGCACAAGGAAACCACAGGGCCAATTTTTTAACCTCTGGTTACTGATATGGAACACTAAATTCAAAGCCATTTTGAGAATTTCCTACATTGCTCACTTACAGGAAAACAAAACAGAGAGTTTCATGGTAAATTTCTAGCCCCTGAAGGGCTACCTCTTCTCCTGATGACTTCTGAATTTTAAATTCATCATCCAAAAAGATAACGTATAGGATTTACAAGGGTTTTATTTTTTGGAGAAAATTGGAGAGACGACCACAATTGTAATACATCAAAAAAAAAAAAAAATCGGAACTAGTAGTAACAATCTCTGAAAACTTGAAGTCTTAGGTTTATTTTGAAACCAACTTCCAAACAAGAGAGAATGAAAACAGGACACGTGTATAGGAGGACGCCCGGCTGAAGGAGCTGAAACGTGCTCCAACACCTTCAGGGCAAGTCCCCGTGGACTCATTTCCTTGTCACAACAGCAAAGGACCGACCATGAAAGTCACTCCTCGGTGCTCGCTCTGCAGCTCAAGGCCTGTCCTCACAGGCTCGTCTGCACACCCCCGGCCCAGAGGAAGCAGCGCTGGCGGCTGGGGCCCGCCTCATCGCCTGTTGGAGCGCGTCTCGTCCTTCTGCTGCTTGCTGCACTTCTTGCATGGAGAGCGGCTGCCGGGGCCCCGGGCCTGGAAGCTGTGTTTGTAGGGGTGGGCTCTGTGCTTCTTCCGTTTCTCTTCTTTCTGGCTCTGGCTTTTCGCGGCTTCCTTGCTGCCCTCTTTTTGCTCAGGGTCTTGCTCTTTATGGGAGGGCAGCGTGTTCTTAATTGTGTTAATGAGGAATCTTTTATTTGTCCCAGCGAGAGGACACTTCATCCTGGGGAGGGAAAAAAGAGAACATTCTCAAACCGAATAGCTTGCTCCAGAGCTGCACCCACCGGTCACGGGTCCGTGCCAAAGAATTCTGTGTCCACAGAATCAAGTTTCTGAATGTGTTCGGCTTTCCTTGCATGCCACCTAGTGTAAACTCTGAGTACAAGGGGGAAAAGGCAAGACCCCTGAAATTCCGGGGATGACCGAGCTGGACCTTATCTGAATACTTCACCCCTTTCTTCCTTCTTGGCACTAACTTTCCTATAGCTTTGTATGCGCAGGTATTGGCCACAACGTGAAAGAACGGAATCACTTCCATTTTCCCGTTGAATAATAAATGCCCGGATTTGACTATAATCTGCGTTTTGAGCTAAATTGATCGTGGCTTGTTTTTAATTACCAAAGAGTAAAGTTTAGTCCCTCTCCGAGGAACAAAAGAAGTATCTCTTGCCATATCTTGGATGCTGGGGCTAAATGCTCTACTCCAGAAATAAAAATTATCCAAAGAATCCATAAAAATGCCATAATCACATTTTACCTTTAAAAGAATCTCTGACACGTTCCATGTCAGGCCTCTAGTGTGTGTTCTGTTGGGGAGCACTTCATGTAGGCCCACCCTCTGGGTCAGTTTCTGTATGGGGTATATTTAAGCAGCTGGTGATTCAAGTTCACCCAAGAGACAGGATGTAACTAAAGTATTATTTTACATGCTTAGGTATATACTACAGTAGTTTTCTTTTTCAACTGCATAAAGCTTTCATTTTGGGGAAGAAAACCCCACACAGATGAGAACCTGCGTATTTCTCTTGGCCTTCAGCTGTCTGTCACATGAGGGGGGTGAGGGGATGAGGAGGATGCTGATCCCCAAAATCATGTTACTCAGAGCGGCCGGCATTAAGCAAAAATGAATGTAGGATTCTATAATCTCCATCTTTGTGTCAAACTTTGATAAAAAAGAGAATCCCACACATTGCTTCAAGATCAATCCACCAGCGCCCCACCACAGTGATTTTATAGTCTAGTATCCTATCGGTGAAATATGAGCAGACATCAGCCTCGTGCCACTTACGTGGAGGTCAGACCAGCTCAAGCGACCAAAAATGGCATTGAATCTGGGAGTAAAATATGGAGAAAGATAAAAGAAAATGTCTCCGGTAGCAAATAAGCAGTTCTTGTGTCTACACGGACAGAGAAAACATCTGAGAAGAATCAAAGGTGCTGTAGGCACTCGATGGGCAGTGCGTGCGTCATGCTTAGGCTAGGAGAAGCGACGAGGGAAAATACTAGAACAAGGAGAAAAAGAAACGCAGAGAGAAAGGGCAGTGAAGTGCAGTAGGACCAGCGGGAACACTTACAGGTGGAGTTTTTGTTTTGTTTTTCTTATAGCGCCGGAGTTTAGAAGCCACAGTGCATGAGATGAGGAGCACAGAAGAAAGGCAGTGACAAAGATGTGACGTCCTGGGGGCACAACACCACGTAGCTCCCTGGAGCCCCAGGGGGCTTCATGGAGCTTCCAGAGAAGCACACGGACCAGCGTGATGTGCCCAGTAGTCCTAAGGCAGAGCCACCCGGGCGTCGGGTCGCGGTGCGCAGTCTGGGCAGCATCGATGACAGGCCGCCCTGCTCTGCTGTCATTGGTGTCGACACACCGATGCCACCAAAGAGCACGATACGGCTGGTCGGCAGGACAAAAGGGCCCCTCAGCGCGGAATGTAAAGAGCCGAGCGTGCCCCCCTTTGCCAACTGTGGCCCTGTGCTTAGCGCAGGGGCAGAATCGTCTGTACGAGTAAACGGACCACGTGTGTCTCTTGGCTCTGGGAGGCCATGGGCAGCCAGCTCCAGAAGCATTCGGGGGTCTTTTCCTGGGAGTGGGCCAGCTCAGTGCTGGCAAAACGGGTCAGTTCTTCTCTGGATTAGACAAATGAGGAAAGGTGAGTATTGCCTGATGGGACAATCATCAAAACAAACCCTTTGGTAACTCCTGGTGAATTCCGCTCTATTTTGCTATGTTCCACGGAAGATCATCTTTACCACCATATATGCTCGTCCGAGGAGAACAAAGCTCTTCTGCTAGAGACCCAGCGGAGTTCCTGCTGAGAGAGTGGGGGTCGCGCCGGAGGGGACGGCTGCGAGCTTCCAGCAGCTAGTGTGGCCCACTGACTCAACACAGCCCCCAAAAGAGCTGTTCCGAGAATGAGAGGACTTTGGTCTAGAATCAAGCCACAAGAAAAGTGGCCTTTACGTCTCTTTTTTTACATTAGAGATGGGATTTTTAATGTTGGTCGTGCCTAAGAGTCTATTCCAGGTGCAGAGTCAAGGGCAGCTGGGACAGAATTTGGTTTTCATGGTGGGGGTGGGGGGTGCTGAGAGTGACGTCTCCCGAACATGCCAGGACATGCTTTAGAAATGAGAGTAAGTGCTTATTTATACTCGTAATAAGTAAGGCAGGGCAATGAGATAGAGGGGCAGTTGCAAGCAGATGTGGAGGTACGTGTAGTAAATGATTCCATATATGGAAATTATAAAATCTGCAGTGAAAATATCACAGTATAAGGAGTCTAACAGTGCTGCTGACGTTTGAGGAAATCCGCTGGGAGAGAACCGCTCTAGCCTTCAGTGTGGGAACTCATTTTGCTGAACCTTGAAGCCGGTTGTTTTATTTCTACAGACTCATACAACATGGTACCAGCTGAGAACACATGCTCTGAAATCACACGATCTATCAGATTGAACCTTGGGCATGTTCTATAGTCTCCCCATTGCTTCTTATCTGTTAAATGTGGGATAATAACAGTGACTATCTTAACGGAATGCTTGCAGATCAAATGAATGAGTGCTTAGAATAACACTAATACAAAACAAGCATTTGGTACATGTTAGCTCTGGGTTCTATCCTAGCTCTACGAATTAGCTGTGTGACCACGGGCAAGTTACTTAACTCCCCTGTGCATCAGTTTTCCCCATTTTTAAACAGGAGTAATAGACGTATTGACCTATTGGGAGGATTTATTGAGATAACGCATAAAGCACTTAGCACAGTACCTGGCACATGGTAAATCTTCAATAAATGTTACCAATGGGTCTATAATTTCTCATCCACGATTCCAAAATGTTAAAACCTTTGAAAATCAGGTTTTTTTTTTTTTAAAGATTTTATTTATTCATTTGAGAGAGAATGAGATAGAGAGAGCATGAGAGGGGGGAGGGTCAGAGGGAGAAGCAGACACCCTGCCGAGCAGGGAGCCCGATGCAGGACTCGATCCAGGGACTCCAGGATCATGACCTGAGCCGAAGGCAGTCGCTTAACCAACTGAGCCACCCAGGCGCCCGAAAATCAGGTTTTTTATATGATGTTGAAACAAACTCATCTGACAGCAAAACCTGGCCTAACCTGACACTGGGCTATTTATGTCTAGTCTCTATCCCATTTGGTATACGCGTATGTGTGGGGGCAGAAATGATGATGTGTTGAACAAGTAGCCCTGGGGGCGTTCGTAGTGCACACTGGATGTGCTCACGTACCTTTCTAAAATGTGAAGATATCTCAACTTAGAAACAGAGGGATTCAGGGGCGCCTGGGTGGCTCAGTTGGTTGGGCGACTGCCTTCGGCTCAGGTCATGATCCTGGAGTCCCGGGATCAAGTCCCGCATCGGGCTTCCTGCTCAGCGGGGAGTCTGCTTCTCCCTCTGACCCTCCTCCCTCTCATGCCTTCTGTCTCTCGTTCTCTCTCTCTCTCTCTCAGATAAATAAATAAAATCTTTAAAAAAAAAAAAGAAAAGAAACAGAGGGATTCAAGGGTTTTAAACAAGGGATTGTGGACCTATATTATTATTGTTATTCACTCTCTCTTCATGAAAAAGAATATATATAGCACATTAGTTAACATAGCAGGGATTTCTCCTTGATAGCAACTCAAGATAACATCCTAAAGTCTCAGATCACCTGGGATAAGAAGCTAATCAAGAACAGAGCAGGCTATCTGGTGTTTCTCAATGAAAAAAAAATTAAAAACAAATAAAACCTGAGCCATCAAGAAAAAGTTAATGGGATTTTATAGAAATTTTCATAAAAATGGTTAAAATTAACAAGTTTTGGTATTTCAGGGCACCTGGGTGGCTCCGTTGATTAAGCTTCCGATTCTTGGTTTTGGCTCAGTTCCTGGTCTCAAGGCTGGTGGGATGGAGCCCAGCGGCAGGCTGGTGCTCGGTGGGAGTCGGATATTCTCTCCCTTTGTTTCTTCTCCTGCTCATGCACATGTGCACTCTCTCTCTCTCAAATAAAAAATCTTAAAAAAAAGTTTTGGTGGAGAACCTGGGTGGCTCAGTCAGTTGGGTGTCTGCCTTCGGCTCAGGTCATGATCTCAGGGTCCTGGGATCGAGCCCCACGTCGGGCTCCCTGCTCAGCGGGGAGCCTGCTTCTCCCTCTCCCTCTGCCTGCCGCTTCCCCTACCTGTGCTCTCTCTCTGTCAAATAAATAAAATTGTTTAAAAGAAAAAAAGTTTGGTACTTCAAATGTTTAGACTTCTAATACCTGGAAGTTTTACTTGAGGTTATAATTTGCATTTCCTAATACTGTGTAAGCTCTGTAGATGCTCTTCAGATGTAACACTGTAGGCTGAGGTATGTAGATGATTTCCGAAGTCTGTCCCAGTTTTAAACTTCTCTGCTCGTGTTCTGCATGTTAAGCCTTTAGAAAATTACTCTCCTCTCATTCATCCCATTAGAAAATTCAGTTCTGGGGCACCTCGGTGGATCAGTTGGTTGAGCACCTGACTCTTGATTTCGGCTGGGATCATGGTCTCTGGGTTGTAAGATCGAGCCCCGCACTGGGCTCTGCACTTGGCGAGGAATCTGCTTGGGATTCTCTCTCCCTCTTCCTTTACCCCTCCCCAACAATCAATCAATCAATCAATCAATCAAATCTTAAAAAAAAAAGAAAATTCAGTTCATTGATCTCTGTCTTGTTTCTCAGCTCTTCCTTGGTACCATTTCCCCCCATACTTG